AGACAGACAGACAGACAGACAGACAGACAGACAGACAGACAGACAGACAGACAGAAAAGATATGGAACCCAAAAGGTGGCATGGGCACAGCAGTATAAAGTTCAACAAAAAACAAATGTTAATATTATTTCTCTCTAAATGATAAATGCCACAGCTAATCCACACACAACTTTGAAAACCTACCCTAATACTTTTAAACTTTTTGCTTAATTCTCGAATTAACATCACAGAAAGTCACACTTGATCGATCCGGCTCTAGGCACCTTACATCAACATTGAAATTGGCTATCCAATGGACATTCGAGCATACACAAAAAGTCCCATCTTTTTTAGTAAGTGTTAGTAGAGGTTTTTACGGTGCTCGCAACTGCATAAAAGGTCATAGGATAACCAGAAGATTAGAGATGTTACAAGAGAGTAACAAACATAAAAAAGAAAAAGGAGAGATAAAGACGAAAGATAGTTGTTTTATAGGAAAGAAGGAGCAAACCACATCAGAGCACCTGCCAACCACCCACGGAGTAGAGTCAGTGAGTACTCACCATGCTTGAGGCCAGCAGAGGGCCCCGGTGTGGTGCTGCCTGAGCTTGTTGGAGTCGTCGGTTTCGACACGGGGGTGCCCGCTTTCTCCGTCTGAGAAATAAGACGCAAAACAAAAATTTAGAAAAACAGCTTATTACATTTATTCAACAAAATCGTACCGGACTGATTTATTAGTTTTAGTAAGAGTTTTACTGCACTTGCAGCACAATAAAGTCAAGGTCATATAAGTGCCGAAGATTAGAGGTATTACAAGAGAGTAACAAACATAAAAAAGAAAGAAGGGAGATCAGGCCAATAGATGTTTCATAGTAAAGAAGGAGCAAACACACCAGACCACATGCCAACCACCCGCAAATTGGACTGAGTTGTAAGTATATTTTAGTTTTAGTTTAGTAGGGGCTTTTCGGCGCTCGCAACTGCATAAGGTCATATGAGCGCCAGAAGATTAGAGCTGTTACAAGAGAGTAACAAACATAAAAAAGAAAGAGGGAAGATAAGGACGATAGATGTTTGATAGGAAAGAAGGCGCAAACCACACCACAGCACACGCCAACCAACAGCAAATTGGACTGAGTTGTAAGTATATGTCTATGTAAGCATAATGAAAAGACACCTCTATAACCACAGAAAAGATTTGGATGAGAGCAATACCAAAGAATTCTGGACAGGAGATCTCTTATTACTTATAAAAAATTATTATTTTAGCATGAGGCCATTTTCACACACACACACACACACACAGAGAGAGAGAGA